TGTTGAGATAGTGAATTGGTGGGTTTTTGTTAAATGTGAGCCAAAATCATCACAATTAAAAGAACCAAAGACTTAAACTACTTCAGTCTGTGTGCATTGAATTTATTTAATACACGAGTTTCACAATTTGAGTTTAATTACTGAAATAAATGAACTTTTCCACGACATTCTAATTTATCGAGATGCACCTGCATAACAAAATTCAGTAAATACACTCATAAGTCATCCCAAATTCATATACAACTATATCAACAAAATATATAAACAAAATATACATATACACCAAATAATAATCTCATGACTCTAACAATAATTCTTAACATCAATTTTTATGTATACAATCAATAAACATCATACCCAATTACTCTTTGAGTCCCCCATATATATCATTAAATTATTTTTTAAAACAATTCAAAGACAAATCTTCATTCATACCCCGAGGGTGTAGACTTTTAAGATCAAAAATCCACCTACATTCCTTTTGCAAAAGTCTACGTTCTAAATTCCCTCCTCTAAAAATGTAGGTCTAAGACTTGTGTAACCATGGCGATGGTCATCTCGCGAACCTCACAGAGAAAGAAAGCAAGTTTGCTTCAGGGATAGATACTTTAACACTTCTGGCTCCAGCTCGGAATATCAAACCGACTCTGACCTAGATTTTTTGGGACAAAGATCCAACGATATGCATTTCCTGTGAAGACTGAATTACAATACCCGAAGTGCAGGACACGTCGAGGGAGAAGAGGAGGACGGTACGGGCGTTCGTCCCACAAGGAAGAAAAGAACTCACAAGATCACAGCCTAGTGTTCAACCTATCCATCACTCCTTTATCATCTAATGAGGAGCAGCTGATGAACAAAGGTCTGTTTTACGTTCCCCTTACACCTATTGATCCATTTCAGCTTAAAGTTGAGATGTTTAAATTTTACAGATCGATCAAATTAAAGTACTTTTTTCAAAGGGACGGTATACAAAGACAATACACTTCGGTTGATTATAAACAGGTTTTATGTCCTCAGAGTGCTTTTTGTCCCGTGGTTAATAATCCAGCAACTGATACATTCTGTAATATTGTGGATAAAGAGATTGATGATCTTTTAAAAAATCCTATGAAAGATTTTGGATCTAAGGAACGTCTGACTTTAATGGAACTATCAAAACGGCCAAATGTAATCTGGAAGCCAGCGGCTAAGGGTGGTGGCTTGGTTTTTATGGACAAATCGGACTATGTTTTTGAAGTTAAATCTCAATTATTGGATGATGCGTTTTATATGAAACTGGATAAGAATCCTACCATTGCCTTTAAAATGGACGTTGATGCATTTTTACAGGACTCGCATCAAAAGGGTTTGATAAATCAATCAGAGTTGAGATTTTTGACTAAAGATTTTCCAGTAATTCCTGTGATGCATGCTCAGCCTAAAGTTCACAAATCAGCGCAGAAACCACCAGGGCGTCCTATTGTAGCTTCGAACGATTGCCTAATGGAACCTATTTCACAATATGTGGATCGCATCCTTAGACCTTTGGTGGAGGCTCTCCCTTCATATTTGAAAGATACTGCTGATTTTTTGAAACAACTGTCGGATATCAATTTTGTGGATAATGAGGAGTCTGAGATCTTTTTATCTACGATGGATGTGGTCTCATTATATACAAATATTCCGTATAATAAAGGGTTAGTGGCGATAAAATACTTTCTGGACAAAAGGGTTGAAAAATCCCCACCATCGAACTTTGTTATCGATATGATCACGTTGCTGTTGGAAAATAATTATTTTCTTTTTGAAAATGATTTTTTTCTACAAAAACAAGGTGCCGCTATGGGTTCGAAATTTTCCCCAGACTATGCGTGTTTATTCATGGGATTTTTAGAAGAAAGATATATTTGGAATAATAACCCTTTTTTTAAAAATATTGTTATGTGGAAGAGATATGAGGATGATGTGTTCTGCATTTTTAGGGGCTCGGAAGATCTACTTAATGATTAATGGCTGTTGAATAATATGGTTGAGTCCATTAAATTTAATGTAGAAATCAACACCCACTCAGTTGATTTTTTTGATACAAGAGTCCTTTTGGAATCTGGAAAATTATCGTCAACCTTGTATTCTAAACCAACTGATAAAAATAGTATCTTGCATGCGTCGAGTGCCCACCCATCTTATTTAAAGAAGGGGTTACCTTACTCTCAGTTCCTACGCTTAAATCGCATTTGTAGTGTTGAATCTGATTTTGAAAAAAAAGTGGTTGAGATGTATAAGCGTTTTCGACTTAGGGGTTATTCAAGTAAGTGGCTAGATGATGCTTTGGAGAGGGTAAGAAAGGCAGTTTGTAAACCGGCTAAACATAAATCTTACTTATATAGTATGCACTACCACATATTCTAATTATAGTAATGCCATTAAAGATATCATTAAGAAACATTTCATATTTACTATCTAGTGATTCGGTTGGCAAAACGATTTTTGCAGATCTGCCCCTTTTTTCTCATTACAGAGCGAGGAATATCAGGGACTTTTTAGTCAGATCGGATACTTGTGTCAAGGATGGTATTGATGGGCGCGTAAATAGGGATGTTGGTTTTTATCTTTGTCTCAAATGCGCTGCATGTAAAAATGTACACAAAAGATGCTTTGAGTTTCGGAGTTGTTGTGGAGATTGCACATATAAAATTAAACAACTGGTATCATGTGCTTCCACTAATGTGATTTATCTGTTATCTTGTCCGTGTATAAAACAGTATGTGGGTAAGACAAACAGACAAATTAGAACTCGGATCATTGAGCATATGAGCGCTTTTAGGAGGAAAGATTTCAAATCGCCTGTGGCTCGCCATTTTGTTGAGATGTCTCATTCAGTCTTAGACCTAAATTTTATAGCTATTGAAAAGTAGACACAGACTCGTAGAGGAGGGAATTTACAATGTAGACTTTTGCAAAAGGAATGTAGGTGGATTTTTGATCTTAAAAGTCTACACCCTCTGGGTATGAATTAAGGTTTGTCTTTTGAATTGTTTTTTAAAATAATTTAATGATATATATGGGGAACTCGAAGAGTACTTGGGTATGATGTTTATTGACTGTATACATAAAAACTGATGTTAAGAATTATTGTTGGAGTCATGAGATTATTATTTGGTGTATATGTATATTTTGTTTATATATTTTGTTGATATAGTTGTATATGAATTTGGGATGACTTATGAATGTATTTACTGTATTTTGTTATAGATTTGAGATATATGTGTGTATTTGTTTAAAAGATCTTCGTGATACTAGGGGTATTATGGTAATACATGTTTTAATGAGCGCACGTGTTGCTTGGTACCACATGGCACTGAGGAAGGGTTAATACCCGAAAACGTTCTGCACTTGCACTTTTGCACTTCTTTCTACATATTTTTGTGACCTCTGAACAATAAATGGAATAAGCTTTTTTAGCTGCATTTGGAGTAGTGCGGATCTCTTTCATCTTTATATACAGTGGGTACGGAAAGTATTTGTGTTTTTCTGTCAATATGGGGTGCTGTGTGTACATTAATGAGGAAAAAAAATTAACTTAAATGATTTTAGCAAATGGCTGCAATATAACAAAGAGTGAAAAATTTAAGGGGGTCTGAATACTTTCCGTACCCACTGTATGTGTTTGACAAGAAAATCCATTCTTTCCTACATTACTTGAACGTGGATACTTGAGGATGGCGACACAAAAATGTATACTTGGAACTAATTCCAAAAGTTCTATTTTATAAAAAAAAAATGAATACTAATATTCACTAATGGTGTATTATATTAATCAAAAGTGACAATAAAAACATATATAATGGTACAGTATAAAGTACCAGGGTTTCCACAAAATAATAAGAAGAAATGTTTCTTGAGCACCAAACAAGCTTATTAGAATGATTTCTAAAGGATCATGTGACACTGAAGACTGGAGTAATGGCTGCTGAAAATTCAGCTTTGCCATGACAGAAATAAATTACACTGTAAAATAGAAAACAGTTAATTTATTTTTGAAAAAAATAAATACAGCCTTGGTGTGCATAAACATCGGTCTCATCAAGCTCATCGGTCTGAAAAGCGAGGTGTGCTCTGATTGGTCAGCTATCCAGTGCGTTGTGATTGGCCGAATACCTCAAGCGTGTGACGGAAATGTTACGCCCCTTACCATACTGTGATGCCGTGTCCCGGAGCGACGAGACAAAAACATTAAAACCCATTATAAACGAGGCATTTGTAGCATCCAGTGGGGACATAATTATGGATTATAATGACTTATACTGTCTTTTTACGCGTTGCGTTGCATCGCGCCGTGTAAAATAAAACCATGTCTGCATTTGTGATTGGAGAAATGACAAACAACAAGTGCTACTCTACACTGCTCAAAACTCGCATTTGAATCATCAGTGGCAAATCCTTAAAATGAAAACATACTTCGCATTTGAATCATCAGTGGCAAATCCTTAAAATGAAAACATACTTACAGGCTGTGAGTCAGAACTGCCGGCATTGTAGTCTACTCTTCCAGGATCAGGAAACAGTCCTTCATAAAATGTGCTGCACACATCTGAATATTTGGGTTGAACTGTTCTGAAGCAGTGTTGTAAATACAACTTAACCACTGATTTCTAGTCGTGTCCTTTTTTGGAAGGCCAAACAAAGTGTTTTCGCTTTTGCAACAAAACACACAATTCACACACGTCTTCACAACATGGTGGCGGTGGTGGCAGCAACAATAAAGTTACGCCTTCTTTCTTTGCATGAACATTTGGGCGGCGTTATGCAAATCTTCCCACACAGTGACGTAGACATGTGGGGGCGTGTTTAAACGAGGCGTTTAACTTTTATAAAGAATATCTCTTTGGGTTTGAGACTTTAGTCTTTGCAACTTTAGGGATCTTATCTATTCATGAACAGCTTGTAACACTCCAAAGAGAAAGGAAAACTTGAAATCACACCATATGACCCCTTTAAGCCAAGATTATCAAGCTAACATGAGAAACACTTACCATCCCATACACAGGCACTTGGGGGGTTGTCATCGGAAATGCAACTGGAGCTGGTGCCTGAGAAAGACAAACATTGAAGAAGTAAGAATTAAGTGTATAGAAATAATTGTAAATGGTTCATTTTGATAGTTCTTTGAATTTAGCAGATTCGTTCATGTTTGTGTACAAGCAGGACTTACATAGCCAGTATAAATCATTCCATTCTGTTTCATTACAAAAACATGCAGAAGAGAGAAAGACAAAGACATTACTGACAATCACACAAAACCAAGAACTTGTTTTGTGTTCTATATAGTGCACAGGCCAAGTTGCTTGGCTCTTGAATCGCATACATATTGTATTCAAACATTTCAAACTGAAGAAGGAGACTGAAATTTCCTAACAAGAGCATGCCTTGAGCAATGAATCAATTTCCATACCATCTGTGGCATCGGTATGGGAGCAGGGGCCAGGTGCGTGTGGCTCCAGGGTACTGTGCCATTCATGGCTTTAGACTGCCAGTGGGAACCTCCAGATGATTTCTTCTCAAAGTGAGTCCACTGAACTTCTGGCCTGAAAACAAAGGTTTTCTATGTCAGACTGTTATAGCTGTACTTCATATAGCAAAAATAATAGTTTATGTTGCCAATAAACCTAAAATATAATTTGCTTTACATGGTAAAAGCCTTACTTTTTGGCTGGGGGTCCTCCAAAATGTAAATCTATGACAAATACAACATGCACATTATCAATACATTTATTACAGTCTGTAGTGTTATGTTAAATTGCCATAGAAACAAAATAAATGAGACAGCTGAAAGACTCACTGCCCACAAGATTGGCCAAGGATGAGTCCAGGTCATTAGTAAGTAATTTTCCTCCATTGTAGAGCTGTGTGCCTTGACTTTGGACCTGCGAGGAGAAGGTGGGCTTCAAAAGTGCTCCTATGTGAAAACCAATCTAGAAGATAAAAAAGAGGAAACAAGTCAATTATTTTTCAATATTAAAGCTGACAAAATACTAGCTCAATATGCAGAGACAAATATTAAGGGTTGCATATCAATTTCTCGATTCAGTTGAATTCAGATATTGATTTGGTAACTCGTCTTTTTCAACTAGAACTGGTTCATAAGAGTCATTTGTTCATGAATCGAACTACACTGGTCATGCTGTATGGTTTTGATTAACTCAAAATAGCTGGTTTATAAGAGTAATTTGTTCGTGAACCAGACCACGCTGGTTGTGCTATATGTTTCTGATTCTCTAAAAATAAATACAAAATTCTGTCATGAAACTCTAGATAGCGCAGGCCTATAGGTTCTAACTCAATCTGATATAATTACATCATCATTCACATGGCACAGCTGATGGGTTTCTTTTTGCATCAGCAGCCAATGAGCTTGCTACTCAACATTCAAATACTTGGCTAGTGCTTGCTGTAGCAGTTGCAGCACGCTTCAGAAACCCTCCACCTTCCCCAGCTCCACCTGTATAGATCTGCTATGGGGTAATTTCATGTATGTTATACACAAGGATTATTTAATGTGTTATATGTGCAGCAGCAGTATTTCTCACATGCTCACAGCAGCATGTCTGTGGTACTTGCTCTGCTGCAGCAGCAGCAGCATAGCAGATCTATAGTAGTCAACATTTTAAGTGGATCAAAACCTTTCATCAAAGTTGCCCTAAAACCTAAAACCAAAATGCGTTCTTGTCTTAGGACAACTTTGATTAACTTTTTTGATCCACTTCAAATGTTGACTACTGTATTCCGCCAAGACCAAACACATTATCATTGCCATGTTTATTACCATGCTAAACTCTCTGAGAGTTGTCATGACAGAACTGTTCAATAGAGTTATTTGTTTGAATCAGACTACACTGGTCACACTGTATGGTTTTGATTCACTAAAAATAGCTTATTCATAAAAGTCATTTGTTCCTGAATTGGACAACACTGGTCATGCTGTATGTTTTTGATTTACTAAAATATAACTGGTTCATGAGAGTTATTTCTGTGAATCAAACTACAATGGTCATGCTTTATGTTTTTGATTAACTCAAAATAATTGGTTCATCAAGAGTTATTTTTTTGTGTATCTGACTACACTGGTTGCGCTGTATGTTTTTGATTCACTAAACAGATCTGGTTCATGAGATCTGATTGTGCTGTATATTTCTAGTTCTCCAAAATTATCTTGTTTATAAGAGTCCTTTGTTCCTGAATCAGACATAACTGGTCATGCTGTTGCTTTTGATTCACTAAAAACAGCTTGTTCAAAAAAAAAAATTTCTTTTAACAGACTACACCGGTTTTGCTGCATGTTTCTGATTTACTAAAAATAACTGGTTCATAAGAGTCATTTATTTGTGAATCGGACTACACTGGTCATGCTATATGGTTTTGATTCTCTAAAAAGGACTTGTTCAGTAGAGTCATTCCTTCATGAGTTGGGCTACACTGGTCATTTTGTTTTTCATTTACTAAAAAATAAACTGGTTCATAAAAAGAATTTGTTTCACAAATCAGACTACACTAATCATGCCTACAATAACAGCATAACAGAAGCACTGGTGTGTTTTTGAGTATGAATTATCTGTTTGTCTGACCAATGGAAGACGGAGGGGAACCTTGAAAAATATTATTTTTGCAATCGTTCGGAAAGTGACACACTTCCCTTTTAAAAGCTATTAAACGTATAATAAAAATGTGTAAAATACTCACTCGATTGAGTCCCAAACAAGTAGAGAATGTGCCATATAACAAAGAAATGAAGAAAGAGCAAAATTAACATTGTATTAATGAAGAGTGCCACAACACTCAGAATATAGAAAATGAAGAGAAACAGTTTTGTGCCAGTTCAATTACCTCCCCAGCTGTTGTTACTGGCTGGTAGGGTAGTCGTCAGAGCAGGGGTGCTGGAATTATGTTGGAGATCAAAATGTTCATTGGTGAAGTTGTGCACACTGTTTGGGATAATCAGGAAAATACAATTAAACCTTGTAATGGAAGCACAATCACTTCTGCAACTTTGGTCTCATTTGTCTTTGGATAAATGTGACTGCTAAGTGAATAAATGCAAATATAGTAATACAGAGTGATGCTATTTCATATTAAAGTGCCACTACACTAGAAACACTCCAGAAAAACCAGCCTCATGTACCCGTTTGTGATGGTTAGATCAGGTGGACTGGACAGAAGCTCGGTGGCTCCGCTGCTGGTGCAGCTACTGTTGGCACTGCCCACAGACTGCCCGCTGGGAGATATTGTTGGGGTCTGCATGCCTATGTCTTTGAGCTGAACAGCCTGCAGAACAGAAACAACAGCAGAAACTGATGACATTGATGCCGAATGTTTCCGAGAACACATAATTGTTTGGATAAAAATATGCGAAAGGGAAGGACTTTGAAAATATGTTTCATGCTGATGTGAAGTCAGCACTTATTAGCAATTTGACAGAAATATGAAGCGATAAATGAATTAGATTTTTTTACCTTTGCAGGCTGTAGTCTGTCACCCTCCACCTCCCTATGAATGCAAATACAGAATGGTTTACTGGAACGTCTGATAGCAGCAGATACATAAACAAACAAATCATCTGCGTTATTTAGGAAAATTTCAGTGTGTACATTATGAGGATCTGTAAAAACCTTACTGTGGGAACCAGAATCACCATAACAACATGATTATGAGCTGAACAGAGCATTCAAACTGGCACCTAATTTTGGGCCAAGTGGATTTTGAATGCAACTTCCAGAAAAAAGTATTTGTACGTTTGATAAAGTTGCATGATTATTCCAGGTGATAAAAAAGTGTTTGTCTACGCTTTGTGGCAGAAATGAATAAATCTTAAATTTCTGATTAAAAATTGATTTTGAGATTTTTTTTTTCTGTGGTAAATCTAAAATATCTAGGTAGCATCAGGAGATTTTTTTTTCATTGGCAAAGAAAATATCTCATTCAAAGAATAACATTTTAGAAGAAAAAAATTTAAAAGTAACATGGCATTATATTTTATTATTATTTCTTTTTAAAAAATGTCATGTGACAAGAAAATTATAAAAGACCCTCATGTTTACGTGTCAAGGTCTGTACGTTTTTAAAAACTATATGAGATATTTTGTGATCTTTATAAAAGGCATGTTTGGTTCAGGTCATACAGATAACTCCAATAAAAATAAAGTAAAAAATAAAATCAAATAATGATTAAGATGTGTAAACTGAAGGGTATTCATGGTGAAGGGAAGTATTTTTACAAGTTATATCAAGAGCAATGGTTCCCAACCACTTTCAAAGGGGCCTCAAGATGACTTACAATTATTAAAATTTTACTTTAATTTACAAAGTGTGATTTCTAGACCTGGAAATGTCATGTAAATGAATAAAATCTTAAAACGCCACTGGCCTTTTTTTTTTAAAGAATACAGATTTTTCTAATTATGTAGAAATTGTGAGTAAAATATTTTTTAAGTATTGTTGTGGGAAAAGAGGGAACACCTTGGAGTAAAAAAGGTTGAGAAACATTGATTTCAAGTGATTAAATCAAAATGTTGGTTGTATGAACATTTTTTAATTGTATTAAATCAGCATGAATAAAAAGGGTACAATTCCAATAACTTGGCAGTTGCATATAAACTAAAATTTAGATCATTTTTCATCCTAGTCATCATTCCTGACATTCGTATTTGTCACTAACCCTTATACAGAATCCCAACATAAATTCAAGTACCTGCTAACAGTAGAGGCCTCTTTAATTTTCTTGCCCTCCAGAGAAGCCAGATGTTGTTCCAGAGCTTCTAAGAGACTGCTGGGAGCCTGGTGGTGAGGTTGAGAAGGGATGAGGCAGCACAGGTTTTAGGCAACTTATTGGTTAAAAGCAGTAGCAGCAATGATCAAAACACACATACATACACAAACACACAAACATTTGCACCTAACATACTTCTATTTATGAATCATAAAATAAGGAATTAATGCAAAAACGACATGTATATTTTACTGTTCTGTCTTGTATTCTTTCTCACACACACTCATACCTTCACACACACAAAGGCTGCGTAACTAAGAGAACCTAATAGTGGTTATGAGATTCTGAAAACAAAGGGGAAACACAACTGAAGTAATTCAAGTGGAAAGGACTTCAGCTTAAAAGCTACACATGCAAAACAATATCTGTTTCCCATGCAAGTTCTCCGACAGGCCCTTTAAGACCTGCGAGATCAGCTGAGATCACTCAAGAAGAGTTAAAACCATGAAAAACAGAAAGCAGACTGACCTACAAGGGGGTTTTTCTAATCATGCACAGGATATAAACTCACATACTGCACAGGTATCAAAGGCCACAGCAGAACCTGCTAATCTTTGGATTCCACTTGGATTTCTTGGAAATAAATCAGGAGTAAAATTGTAGCTGTGCCGCTTTTCGGGCTGATTGTAATGTCTGCATCGCCATTTTGACAGAATCCCAAACACTTGGAAGCCAAAGCAGGTTAACCAAAGAAAGGCAAACATTGAGTGAGCACACACCGCCAGTATTTTATGCATGTATTGCACTTTCGTCCAAAAAGAGCAACGTCAATTGAAATCGAAATGTCGGCCGAAAGGATTCGTGTGCTCTTACACAACGTTTGCCTTTGGGCCACGAGCTGTGTCCGGTGTGCATGCCAATTCAGAGGAGGAAATTTCATGAATAACAAAAGAGCAGATTTCTCAGACGGGTAATTTTAAGGAAGACACAATAGAGGGAGCATTCTACTGAGAAATCTGAAACATATGCAACGAAACAACACACTATTAAAGGAGAGATAAAAAAGGAAGAAAAGTTAAGACAAGGGTACTACAGGAGCAGGAGTATACAAAAGGCCGTGATGAATATCTAGCTTACAGACAAGAAAAGGCACTTAAATAGGACTTATGAAATAAGCCTAATCAATGGTGCTAATGATAGAGTACTTGAGAATAGAATGCAGGCCTTCTGAATACTGCTTCAGCTTAAGAAAACAAGGCACTCCTTCCAATAAAATGTTTTGTTGACATTAAAGTACCACTCTGTAGTGTGCCAGCCCAACACCTTCAGGAGTCCCTGTCCAATGTAAATGAAAATGTCAAAAATGCCAAATGGTGGCAAACTGAAGGGGGACATCAATGCCCGGCACCTCGGCAGAATTGTCAATAGACGCCGGAAAAGCAGGTCTATATTTGGCAGCGCTGCTTACTATAAAACTTCATGAGGTTCCAGGCAGAATTTAGTCCCCAGCTCCAGTTTTAAGGCATTCTTTTAGTTAAGTGCACATTCACTTTTCTCCCCAAAAAGCTATCCAAGCAGAATACCCTACCAGTACAGAGATATATGGCAAAGGTGAGTGCTTACAGGTTAGGAGAGCACTTTATTTAGCGAGCCTGTGCCCACAACGTCAGACTGGCCACGTACAGCGTGGCAGAGATCGCACAAGCACCGTTTAGCCATATATCAATCCATGTAAAGCCGCCTTTTCGCTGTCTCTGACAAACGACAGACCAGAAGTCATTAATTTCCAATGGAGAATCACGCATTTTGAAATTTGCGGACTGGATTTGAGCTTTGGTTGAGTTGAAATATTTCAACTTCCGTGACTAGACCACATGCGACAGATGTTATGTATTCCAATCTATAAACCGTGAGTGTGACGTTTAGCCATTTTTTCCCCCGCTAAATCATTAATCTTTAAACACTTCTGTAGAATTGGTGGCTATAATAATGAAGTCTGAAATAATCATTTAATAATTATTAAACAGTTATTTTCTCCAACTGCCATTTGTGAATAAATATTAATTCGTTCGTTATTCTTTCCTACCGTGGTGTTGGTGAATAAGCGGAGGGTAAATGCAAATGTGCGGCAGCCCTATGCGAGTGTCGGAGACGGTGAAAACGCAGCTTTAGAATTACAAGCAGTCAAATTTCTCATGGGTATATGCCAGTAAGAAATAGTGGCTCGAGGGGCAAGCACTAAGCTTTAATGAGACCTTAATTGACTTTTCTTTACTAATCAAATGTGGTTATAATCAAGGCAACAGCTATCAGAGATAGCACCTGTAAATATTCACATAGACTAGCTTTGGTACCCATTTACCTCTGGCGACAACAGAAAATGCAAAACAGCACATCTGATTCCTTGGGAGTGCGCGGGTATGGAGTAAGTTTCTTGAGGCCCCTATCCTAAAAGTCTGATAGATGAGGGGGAAGTCAAAAGAAATCAGGGCTGGGGATGATGGTCTATGGGGTGAGACGTGAATGAGAGATCAGGGTGAAGCCACATGAGAGAAACTGAGATGAAATGCACCACTAACCTGTGAGAGATCTGGGATGTCAACCTGATCAATTCCAACTTGCTGTGACACAAAAGAAAAGGAAGGGAGGGAGAACGGAAAACAAAACTTGAAACCAAACGGTAAAAAGAGAAAACCAAGGCACGTGGAGAAGGGAGAAAGAAGAATTAAGAAAAAGAGCCATTACTCCATGCAGTGTATGAGAACCAAAAACGAAAGTATGGACACACACAGACATTGAGGTTGTGGAGGTGGCGTAGATGGTGAGTGAGAAGACACTTGTAGGTCAATGGTGAGATATTTACATGACTAGGTGAGAAACATCCAAAAGAAACACACAACTAATGTTGACTTTGGAAAAAAGACAAGAAAAACAAATGGCATACACACATTGTTATACAAAGAAAGAAATGTGCTCTTAAAGTCAACTTTAGTCAGTTTTTGGATAGCACTTCACCCTTTTCCTGAAGTCATATTATTCAGCCAAAAAGCAAAAGAAAGGAGAAAACAAAAGAGAGAAGAGAAGAAACCAAACAAAAAACTCAAGAAGGATGTGCTTAGCATTTTTCCCCAATATATGCCTCCATACACATCAAAATAATGGGCTTTACAGACAAAAGTAAACAGCTAAATTCCAACCATCACACTGGCACAGTTGTCAAAAATATCATGTCCTTTATCAAGGTGCCCAGTATTCATTCATCTATACAGAAGCAAAGCTTTATCTTTGCAGCGTATCTTATCTTGCCATTAAAGCAATTATTCATCCAATAGATCCTAGGGGCCAAATTGACAACTGTGCCTGCATCCAAACGGCAAAACAAAGGTTCAACTCATCGTTTGCATATTAAAGGACTGTGGTTGCAGTCGTGTCATAGCTCTGGTCTTGCTGTTGTAGAGAGGGACAGATAGATAGAGAGACTTTCTGCTAACGGTAAAAAGAGAAAACCAAGGCACGTGGAGAAGGGAGAAAGAAGAATTAAGAAAAAGAGCCATTACTCCATGCAGTGTATGAAAACCAAAAACGAAAGCATGGACGACTGGATGGATGGATGGACACACACAGACATTGAGGTTGTGGCGGAGATGGTGAGTGAGAAGACACTTGTAGGTCAATGGTGAGATATTTACATGACTAGGTGAGAAACATCCAAAAGAAACACACAACTAATGTTGACTTTGGAAAAAAGACAAGAAAAACAAATGGCATACACACATTGTTATACAAAGAAAGAAATGTGCTCTTAAAGTCAACTTTAGTCAGTTTTTGGATAGCACTTCACCCTTTTCCTGAAGTCATATTATTCAGCCAAAAAGCAAAAGAAAGGAGAAAACAAAAGAGAGAAGAGAAGAAACCAAACAAAAAACTCAAGAAGGATGTGCTTAGCATTTTTCCCCAATATATGCCTCCATACACATCAAAATAATGGGCTTTACAGACAAAAGTAAACAGCTAAATTCCAACCATCACACTGGCACAGTTGTCAAAAATATCATGTCCTTTATCAAGGTGCCCAGTATTCATTCATCTATACAGAAGCAAAGCTTTATCTTTGCAGCGTATCTTATCTTGCCATTAAAGCAATTATTCATCCAATAGATCCTAGGGGCCAAATTGACAACTGTGCCTGCATCCAAACGGCAAAACAAAGGTTCAACTCATCGTTTGCATATTAAAGGACTGTGGTTGCAGTCGTGTCATAGCTCTGGTCTTGCTGTTGTAGAGAGGGACAGATAGATAGAGAGACTTTCTGCTAAGGCATGCATTGCAGGCACCAGAACAGGCAGCATGAGGGGGAGACCTCTGATACAGGTTCTTGGACCAAAAGGCAAGAGGGACACTTAGCAAAAGAGGGCCTGAATAAGATGAGCCCAACCATCCCATGCATGGATTATATCTGAAGACGTTTTACCTCTGCCACCTTGAGAAACTCTGAGAGCTTGGTCATCCTGATAAGAAACCTCTTGTATATTTCCAGTGCCTCTTTGCATTGATTCTTCTTCATATTAAAATATTTCTCTTTGAAGTGAAGAAAAAAGTCAATTTAGCAAGTTACATTTCTCTTTGAAGTACAAAAGATTCAAACATATAATATATTCATATATAAAAGTTGCTTTGACCAACAACTTTTGCGCTGCACATTCAATACAAACTACTGAATTACATTGGATCTTTGCTTTGAGGTGAATGCATTACCTAGCAGATTAATGACACCCTCATTGTAAGCAGCAAAGATGCGGATAGAGTCCTTGAAGAGCAGCGTGAAGGCACAATTGATCACCCCATTGGTCAGTTCATTAGAGTTGGCCTACAGGGAAGCACAAAGTCACAAATGTAATCAAAACATATAAATATTGGCTTGCTGTATTTCTGCATTCCTACTAGGCATCTATAAATCATCAAGCAATATCAAACTTCCACTCCTCCTTGTGTTGGTACAAAAGTCGCATATAAAGCGCCATACAGGGGTAAGTTGCTACAAGGGTTGTATCTCAGTAACAGTATGGTTTGTGAAAGTGAAAGCTTCAACTATGTTTTCAAGAAGATTTTTCATAAACGTCATGGAAGACTGAGAGTTTTTGTTTTGTGTGTTTTATATTTTGTAATGTATATTATTTTAACATTTTTAAAACAACAGTTAAGTATTTTATTCCTCTATGTTCTATTTGATATTTTTGCTGTAGTTTTATACATATAAAAATATAAATATAATTTACAGTATATAGGCTATGTGTCATCTATATACTGTGTATATTTACATATGTACAATTTATTATGTAAATTATAATATTATTATAAAATAATATATACAGTATATATATATATGTGCCACATTATGCATATACCATTAATGTGTTATAATAATATAATTATGCTTTATATATATATATATATATATATATATATATATATATAATACTCCAATGAAGCAACCGAAGCAACATTCCTTCATTACTAGTTCTAAAGTGATGTTTTCAAATTAGTAACAGAGGCTTGGGCTCATCTGTTAAACTGTCAATTTGAGATTTGAATCCGTGGCACAAGGAAGTAGTTCCGCACACAAAAGGGTTTTTAAGACAGTGTTTGTTTTTTACTTAATTGCTGTTGAACTTCTGTCTGTTGAAACGCAATTATCACACGAGTAGCCATGATGTGTATCGCTCTATGTCAACAAGGCTGTTATTACCTACGGCAGAATCACACCCATGCTGATATAGAGCGATATCACATGGCTATTTGTGTGATATTGCTCATATTAGGGGTGTCCCCGACTAAGGATTTTCGTAGTCGAATCGGAATTTTCGAATCTTGCCGATATTCGACTGATAGTCGAATCATATGTTTTGGGGGCGGGGCAAAATACAAGAGTCAAGTCAGACATTCGACAGTCATAATTACGTTAACACACAGGGAAAATGTGTAACGCTCCAGGTGTTGTGCCGAAATCTGCACCCCTGCCAGATTATGCCCTACACCGGACGCCTCGCAGATACAGACGGGTTAATAATGTTTTTTGTTTTGCTTAAAAGATAGTTAACATTAAACGTCAGTGAAACCCTAAGAATTCACAACATTTTTTACAATAGTGCTCTCATTATAACGTTAATTATTTATAATTTATTAATTATAACTTGTTAATTATTAATGTTCTGCATTTCTGTTTTGAGCTAGCTGCGCGCGCTGAAGATGAATGAATCAGCAGGTTTTTAATCAATGGGATTTAACTCATTTATCTCATATAGAATACGCTTCGTTATTTATACAACATAACGTTAATATTACGACTTATAGGCTATCTGCACAAAATGCCCCGAATACATGAACGTGTCTGTCTGCACGGCTCTGAATGAACTCCTTTTGTGGACGCGTTCTTCACGCAACAACGTGCAGAAACACGGCAACTAAACGCTAATTTAAATTTCACAGCGTTTTATTATAATAGTGTTCTCATTATCCCAGTCATAGTTTATTAATATTCTGCATTGTTGTTTGTCCTGATGAGATAATCATCGTACAATGAAGCGCCTTACTGCAGCTCAACTCAACCAAATGCATATCTTATACGAGATTAAAAAAGAATATATAGACGATATATATAAACCGGCTGAAATGTTGTGAAATCACTTGTACCCTACCTGATCGACCTAGTCTTTCACTCTGCCTGTGTCAATTTGAGTCTTGTTAAAGTTTTAAATCCCTGCCACCAAAATGCTCTGTCGGTCACGGATTATGGGAAGTGAAATTTGAATCTATAGGGTGGTTGGATTTATTCACGCACGTTAAAATATTTATTTGAAGCTTCTTTCTTTTCAGATTCTTATTTACAGCATTATCTTAATAGGCTGTATATTAACTTAGTGGGAGAAAAACAGTAGTTCTATGTGAAATTAGACATTGAGCACCCCCATATAGCCAAAATGGCATGACCACCCGCGAATATTCGACTGTGAGATTGGTAGTCGAATCAGGCTCCTCCTATCGAAGCATCGAATCGTCGACTATTCGGGGTCACCCCTGGCTAGCTCATATATATATATATATATATATATATATATATATATATATATATATATATATATATATGAGCTAGCCAGGGGTGACCCCGAATAGTCGACGATTCGATGCTTCGATAGGAGGAGCCTGATTCGACTACCAATCTCACAGTCGAATATTCGCGGGTGGTCATGCCATTTTGGCTATATGGGGGTGCTCAATGTCTAATTTCACATAGAACTACTGTTTTTCTCCCACTAAGTTAATATACAGCCTATTAAGATAATGCTGTAAATAAGAATCTGAAAAGAAAGAAGCTTCAAATAAATATTTTAACGTGCGTGAATAAATCCAACCACCCTATAGATTCAAATTTCACTTCCCATAATCCGTGACCGACAGAGCATTTTGGTGGCAGGGATTTAAAACTTTAACAAGACTCAAATTGACACAGGCAGAGTGAAAGACTAGGTCGATCAGGTAGGGTACAAGTGATTTCACAACATTTCAGCCGGTTTATATATATCGTCTATATATTCTTTTTTAATCTCGTATAAGATATGCATTTGGTTGAGTTGAGCTGCAGTAAGGCGCTTCATTGTACGATGATTATCTCATCAGGACAAACAACAATGCAGAATATTAATAAACTATGACTGGGATAATGAGAACACTATTATAATAAAACGCTGTGAAATTTAAATTAGCGTTTAGTTGCCGTGTTTCTGCACGTTGTTGCGTGAAGAACGCGTCCACAAAAGGAGTTCATTCAGAGCCGTGCAGACAGACACGTTCATGTATTCGGGGCATTTTGTGCAGATAGCCTATAAGTCGTAATATTAACGTTATGTTGTATAAATAACGAAGCGTATTCTATATGAGATAAATGAGTTAAATCCCATTGATTAAAAACCTGCTGATTCATTCATCTTCAGCGCGCGCAGCTAGCTCAAAACAGAAATGCAGAACATTAATAATTAACAAGTTATAATTAATAAATTATAAATAATTAACGTTATAATGAGAGCACTATTGTAAAAAATGTTGTGAATTCTTAGGGTTTCACTGACGTTTAATGTTAACTATCTTTTAAGCAAAACAAAAAACATTATTAACCCGTCTGTATCTGCGAGGCGTCCGGTGTAGGGCATAATCTGGCAGGGGTGCAGATTTCGGCACAACACCTGGAGCGTTACACATTTTCCCTGTGTGTTAACGTAATTATGACTGTCGAATGTCTGACTTGACTCTTGTATTTTGCCCCGCCCCCAAAACATATGATTCGACTATCAGTCGAATATCGGCAAGATTCGAAAATTCCGATTCGACTACGAAAATCCTTAGTCGGGGACACCCCTAATATGAGCAATATCACACAAATAGCCATGTGATATCGCTGTATATCAGTACGGCTGTGATTCTGCAGTAGGCATGATATATATACAGTATATATATATATATATATATACGCTGTCAAAATTTGCATGTTAACGCAGGCAATTAATTTTTTATGCTTCATATATATATATATATATATATATATATATATATATATAATACTCCAATGAAGCAACCGAAGCAACATTCCTTCATTACTAGTTCTAAAGTGATGTTTTCAAATTAGTAACAGAGGCTTGGGCTCATCTGTTAAACTGTCAATTTGAGATTTGAATCCGTGGCACAAGGAAGTAGTTCCGCACACAAAAGGGTTTTTAAGACAGTGTTTGTTTTTTACTTAATTGCTGTTGAACTTCTGTCTGTTGAAACGCAATTATCACACGAGTAGCCATGATGTGTATCGCTCTATGTCAACAAGGCTGTTATTACCTACGGCAGAATCACACCCATGCTGATATAGAGCGATATCACATGGCTATTTGTGTGATATTGCTCATATTAGGGGTGTCCCCGACTAAGGATTTTCGTAGTCGAATCGGAATTTTCGAATCTTGCCGATATTCGACTGATAGTCGAATCATATGTTTTGGGGGCGGGGCAAAATACAAGAGTCAAGTCAGACATTCGACAGTCATAATTACGTTAACACACAGGGAAAATGTGTAACGCTCCAGGTGTTGTGCCGAAATCTGCACCCCTGCCAGATTATGCCCTACACCGGACGCCTCGCAGATACAGACGGGTTAATAATGTTTTTTGTTTTGCTTAAAAGATAGTTAACATTAAACGTCAGTGAAACCCTAAGAATTCACAACATTTTTTACAATAGTGCTCTCATTATAACGTTAATTATTTATAATTTATTCTTGTTAATTAGTTAATTATTAATGTTCTGCATTTCTGTTTTGAGCTAGCTGCGCGCGCTGAAGATGAATGAATCAGCAGGCAATGGGATTATGGGATTTAACTCATTTATCTCATATAGAATACGCTTCGTTATTTATACAACATAACGTTAATATTACGACTTATAGGCTATCTGCACAAAATGCCCCGAATACATGAACGTGTCTGTCTGCACGGCTCTGAATGAACTCCTTTTGTGGACGCGTTCTTCACGCAACAACGTGCAGAAACACGGCAACTAAACGCTAATTTAAATTTCACAGCGTTTTATTATAATAGTGTTCTCATTATCCCAGTCATAGTTTATTAATATTCTGCATTGTTGTTTGTCCTGATGAGATAATCATCGTACAATGAAGCGCCTTACTGCAGCTCAACTCAACCAAATGCATATCTTATACGAGATTAAAAAAGAATATATAGACGATATATATAAACCGGCTGAAATGTTGTGAAATCACTTGTACCCTACCTGATCGACCTAGTCTTTCACTCTGCCTGTGTCAATTTGAGTCTTGTTAAAGTTTTAAATCCCTGCCACCAAAATGCTCTGTCGGTCACGGATTATGGGAAGTGAAATTTGAATCTATAGGGTGGTTGGATTTATTCACGCACGTTAAAATATTTATTTGAAGCTTCTTTCTTTTCAGATTCTTATTTACAGCATTATCTTAATAGGCTGTATATTAACTTAGTGGGAGAAAAACAGTAGTTCTATGTGAAATTAGACATTGAGCACCCCCATATAGCCAAAATGGCATGACCACCCGCGAATATTCGACTGTGAGATTGGTAGTCGAATCAGGCTCCTCCTATCGAAGCATCGAATCGTCGACTATTCGGGGTCACCCCTGGCTAGCTCATATATATATATATATATATATATATATATATATATATATATATATATATATATATATATATATATATATATATATATATATATATATATATACACACAGTATATATCACTTTTGTCAAATTATTTTAATGTTTAAACGTCTTTAATAGGCTGTTTAATGACAATATTTCCCATTGTGACAACTTACCCAATATACTTTGACAACATTCCCTGCTATTGGATCCATATTTGTTAAATAATGCACAGTAATTAATAAAAAAAAGAAAGAAATTACAGTCTCTGAATTGCAGTGTAAAACTGCAGCGATGTAAGAGCAGGTGTGAAATGGTGAGACTAAAGCGTCAGTACAAAAGCATGCAATGTTTTAAGATAAGATATTTATGTAGTCATAACTACACAATTGTACCAATAAAAATCATTATTATTATTTTAATTTTATTCACACACAATTTTGGCTTTGGAAACTGAAATATGTTGTATCCTGTACCTCAAAATCCAGAAGGGCGTCCAGCTGATTCTGAATGATAGGTAGAGTCTTCATCAGCTTTTCTATGCTCATAGTGCGCATTACTCCATCCGTCCTGTGCAGGACACATTAATGGTATGAGGTTACACATAGATGAAACTGACAGGTGTGACCACAACTGTACACCTTCTGCCTTCTTTCTGCAGTAATGCTGCCATTTGTCTTATTTGGCTCATTAAGGCATATTTCCCCAGAACAGACGCCTCACCCTCTCTTCATCTTGGTGAAGTCAGCTGCGACGAGTCTGTAGGACAGAGCCCTCTCGGTCAGATACCTGCTGTAACGTCTAATGTAGATGGACATATCGTAACCTAGAACAGACGTTCAATGATACAGTGCTTTAGACCACTTAAATCTTCACATACAGCATAAATCTGATGAGTAGGTTCACAAACACAATTATTATGAAGTATTAACCATAAAACGTACCTTGTAATGCGCCTTTATCTATGAAATTATTCAAGTTAAAGAGTGTGCTTCTTGATGCAAGGTACTGGATAAACCTCTGGATGATAAAAAGCAAGTGCAGGGTTATCAGTAGAGCAAACTGAGCAGAATAATAACAATAAACACCTTCTGAAAAACATCAAAACAAGAAATATTATGTTTCACAGCTAACCGAAAGATTTAATACTTCAAAAATCTGTCAGGATTGTCCTGGCAAGTACTTTTACATTGATATTGTGACGCACTACATTTCACTGAGAAACTGACAAGAACAACAAGAATTCAAGCAGCGACTCATACCTCATTGCCGTACATCATGAGGTGGTGTGTGGTAATGAGAGCTTTAAAGACCACCACCCAGCTTTGATTTGCTGTCCTCTCAAACAATGTGTCAGCCAAGTGAGGTATATTCACGTTCAGCTCATTGGTGCAGTGCATTAGATCTGTGCAAAACAGAGCAGAAACAATGACTGTACATGATCCAGGACGATTATATTGTGGTTTAATAAGTCGGTGGACCTACTTAATAGTTGATATACAATACTGTTTAAAAGTCTGGGCTTTTTTAAAGAAATGAATATGTTTCAACAAGGATGCAGTAAAGGGATAGTTCACACAAAAATGAAAATTCTGTCATTATTTACTCACCATCAAGTTGTTCCAAACCTGTATGGGTGTCTTTCTATGGGTGATTGTAGCCTTAGACTTCCATAGTATGGAGGGTGAGTCAGTGATGACAGAATTTTCATTTTTATGAGAACTATCCCTTTGAATTTATCAAAAGTGAGAGTAAAACCATTTATAATGTGATCAGTTAAATGCTGTTATGTTTTAGTCATGATAGAATCCTGAATAAAAAATGTATCACGTTTCCACAAAAATATGAAGCAGCACAACCGGTTCCAACATTAATATAATAATAATAAGAAATGTTTCCTGAGCACCAAATCAGCATATTGATTTCTGAAGGATCATGTGACACTGAAGACTGGAGTAATGGCTGCTAAAAATTCAGCTTTGCCATCACAGGGATAAATGACATTTTAAAATATGTTAAAAAAGAAAAGTTTAAAATGTTTAAATTGTAATAATATTTCACCATATTACTGTTTTCCTGCATTTTTTAATCACATAAATGCAACCTTTGACAACCTCATTCTTCACGTCTTCTGTTAGGTGTCCATACTGACACATACAAAGGTGCAATGAAAAAAAAATCACCTTGCCATGATAGTGATGGTATTTCGATTTCAGAATCAAATCTATCTCTGTTATTGTGACTTACAAGTAAATAGGATTTCTTTTTTTACATAAATATATATGTTTGAATTTTTTATCAAATAAATGCAACCTTTGTGACTTCTTTCAAAAACTTACAGACCCCAAACTTCTGAACAGTAGTGTACTAACAGAAAAATTTACATTTTATGCATTTGAAACATTATATGGTCAAAAAAGTAAGAACAACCACTTGAACAGGAATGAACAGGTTTAGCTATTTCAGCTACACCCATTATTAACAGGTGCATAAAATCTACAACATAGTTGTCAAATTGACTATTAGAAATCAAATGTCTAATAATCAGGTTGTTTTGTTCAGGTGTTCACATTCTTTCAGCCACATATTTGGTATAAAATGTATAGTTAATCTAGATGTAATTCCATAGCTTTGTACAAATCTACCAACGAATTTGGCAAATATTCATTCTAATGACATTCCATGCACAGTATTTATCTGTTGTCTACTCCAGCGGTTCATAATTATATAATATAAAGTAAACTGCCAGAAATGTGATGTTTCACTGTAATAAAACAATCTGTACTGATGCTGGTCTGTTATCTAACATGACATTGCTTGAATAGCGGTTACTCAAAAGTTACACTTGATTTCTCTCTAATTAACTGGTAATAGAACCTGTATCAGTGAACGCTAGCACATATTCAGAGAACACCTGCTACCTTTATTACTTTGAATAAGCATGACAGTTTATTAGATCTGCAGGCTGCTTTCTTTATGTCCCCCACAGGACATCTGCTCTGGACTCATTAACTGACAGCTTAATTGATAACCCGCTTCATTAATCAGCTACGCTTAGTTATTATTAGTGAATTCATACCGATCACCTTGCCAAGATAGTGATGGTATTTCGATCAGTAAACAGGATTTTTTTTTTTTTTACATAAATAGCTACAATCATGCATATATTAAAATAGAAAAATTATATTGAATTGTAATAATTTTTCACATTTTTACAGTTTTTTTTAATCACATAAATGCAACCTTTGACAACCTCATTCTTCACGTCTTCTGTTAGGTGTCCATACTGACACATACAAAGGTGCAATGAAAAAAAAATCACCTTGCCATGATAGTGATGGTATTTCGATTTCAGAATCAAATCTATCTCTGTTATTGTGACTTACAAGTAAATAGGATTTCTTTTTTTACATAAATATATATGTTTGAATTTTTTATCAAATAAATGCAACCTTTGTGACTTCTTTCAAAAACTTACAGACCCCAAACTTCTGAACAGTAGTGTACTAACAGAAAAATTTACATTTTATGCATTTGAAACATTATATGGTCAAAAAAGTAAGAACAACCACTTGAACAGGAATGAACAGGTTTAGCTATTTCAGCTACACCCATTATTAACAGGTGCATAAAATCTACAACATAGTTGTCAAATTGACTATTAGAAATCAAATGTCTAATAATCAGGTTGTTTTGTTCAGGTGTTCACATTCTTTCAGCCACATATTTGGTATAAAATGTATAGTTAATCTAGATGTAATTCCATAGCTTTGTACAAATCTACCAACGAATTTGGCAAATATTCATTCTAATGACATTCCATGCACAGTATTTATCTGTTGTCTACTCCAGCGGTTCATAATTATATAATATAAAGTAAACTGCCAGAAATGTGATGTTTCACTGTAATAAAACAATCTGTACTGATGCTGGTCTGTTATCTAACATGACATTGCTTGAATAGCGGTTACTCAAAAGTTACACTTGATTTCTCTCTAATTAACTGGTAATAGAACCTGTATCAGTGAACGCTAGCACATATTCAGAGAACACCTGCTACCTTTATTACTTTGAATAAGCATGACAGTTTATTAGATCTGCAGGCTGCTTTCTTTATGTCCCCCACAGGACATCTGCTCTGGACTCATTAACTGACAGCTTAATTGATAACCCGCTTCATTAATCAGCTACGCTTAGTTATTATTAGTGAATTCATACCGATCACCTTGCCAAGATAGTGATGGTATTTCGATCAGTAAACAGGATTTTTTTTTTTTTTACATAAATAGCTACACTATGCTACTTGCATTAACCTATATTTAATGAATACAAAAAAAAACTAATTTAAGAAACGCAACGCAGTATTTATGTTCAGATAAACCAGATTAAGGTTAAAGTGTTCCCATATGAAACACCTAAGCTACAAACATCACTGCATTATACTGCTGCCACCGTCAATGACTCAGACTAGGATAGCAAACTGTGTAGGTCAACAATGGAGAAATACAAACAGCAACACCAACATTAAAAACTGGAATTAAGGTACAAAAATCACGAGCTTTTTGCACCTTGCATTGCGCACGCAAGCTAGTCTTCATCATGCTATGCCCTTGACGTTGTATGTTTCCTATAGGAATCAGCCATGTACATGTTGTCTACATAGGAATCAGCATACTTATTTAATAAACATCTAGTTATGATATTTCCGATGTGGCATGCATAGAATCAAAATGATTAGAATGTATTTCGATTAAATAAATAAATAACGTCATGTGAAATGGTTAGGAGGTCTGTCGTATGCAAATTGGTCAGTGTGTCAATCACGCATTCGAGTGAACGTGCCACGGTGACCTTCAGTTAATTGAATAAAATGAACTCTATAATGGTTGTCCAGAAATAATCATCTACTGTTATCATCTGAATGTCCTCGGTTAGGTTGTAAATAGCAGCAAATGAGCGGCCGGCAAAGAGTGAATCTACATGACAGCCGAAGCACAGTGCAAAACACAACGGGTGACATTTCGCTGCGTTTTTTCTGCTTTAACCTACAATCAAGGTGCTTCTTCTTGGGCGCGCTGACTTCGTGCGTCGTGGCCTTGCACACGGCTTTGCTGATGGCAGATCCGGTCATGCTGTGCTGAGCCGCGGCGATCCGGTCCGTGATGGACTGTCCTGACATATTACGATTTTCAATAAATCGTCTTTCAAACAGATCTATTTGCTGCAGGGGTGTGTGGGAGCCCGCTCCGTGGGCTTAGTCGGTCTTGCGGAGAGCGCTACCCTGATACGAAGCGGACACGGGCGAGGATGCTCTGACATTCAGATAACAGCAATCACCGCGCGCTGAAACGAGGACAATATAATGACAGACCGTTATTTAAATAGGCCTACCAGTTCAGCACGCGCAAAAAGGACACTATGTTACTCGCAAGCCTCCGGTGTTGCCGGTTAACCATGTAATTGCTGTTTGAACGAAGCGAACTATCTCAGCGAACGAAAAAGAAAATCGTTGCGTTCTCGACGTCTAGCCGCGGAAAATCTCGCCCTGCTTCATTTCATGCGCGGAGTCGGTGCATCACGGAATTTGATACCAAGCATCATTTTCCAAATTCCTTCAGCGCCCTTACGTGTTATATAAATGCACGCGCTATTGAGAATACGAAATATTATATGGATATTATCCCAGTCAAACAGTTGCAGCAGTGGTCCTAAATGTGAAAATTCAGCATCTCGTTGATGACATCTTTGATGAAGCAACAATTCCAATTTCCTATAGTTAACGGTCGGACGCTCCGCGCAAAATGGCAGTATCAGAATCAGGTGACTGGAGAGGGGGGCGATTGGCCTGTGTCAGAATTTCTGGGGTGGGCACCTTAAGGTGGAATTTCCGCACTGCTTTAAACCCCCTCTGTACATACATAAGAATGCATCAGACGGCCATTTCAGAGTCTTTAATGGGGCGTCTTGCCTCTTTTCATAGCACAGCCCTGAATTGCGCAGGACTACAATATCACATTCAAGAGCTTACATGGAGGAAAATACTGTATGCTTTATTTTTTAATGCAAGAGGTTGCAGGATAACATTCCTAGATAATGTAGCTGTGCAAGTATTAAGGCATTTTGTGTGCACAATAGTTTTTTAGTCTTTTATAACTGAATCAGAGGCCACTTTTAATAAATATTACTTAAATATTGCTTTCAAAGAGTCCGCACACAAAACAGCAAGAAATGCATATTATTTAACTGGACTTGTGTCGTAAAAAAGCTGGTACCTGGCTAAAATCGCAGAGCATGCACCTGTAAACAGAACACTGATGAGTGAAATCGTTCAAAATTGAAGCACCACCAACACAATGCATCTAATGATGTGAGATTTCACACTCAGCACAATCCTTCTTCACAGTCCCCGCCATTTTGTTGCTTTTCTTGTATCTTGAAGATGAATCTCATTGTTTTGGGTTTAGTCCCCTTAAACTGCTACATATTTTCATTTCTTTTTCACTGACTTTCATCCTCCTGTATTCAAGATTTAGAACACGCCTTGCATCTGGCTCGGACCCGTTCTTTGGTGGTGTTGTTGTTGTACCCGGGAAGGGCCACCACATCTGGGTCTGTGTTGCTGGTGATGTTCTCCTCATGGGCTAAAATGTGATCCACCAGACATTTAGCTGCCACCTCAATGTTTGTGTTCTCCTTCAGTGGGCGTAAAATGAAACACAAAGAAAATGGGAGTCATTCAGACAATAAGATCACAAAGCAAACTACAGCCACATACATCACCATTGAAGAGTTTGGGGTCAGTACGATTTCTGAATGTTTTTGAACATTAAACATTAAGAATATGAACATCAAAGTCTCTTATGCTCACCAAGGCTACATTTATTTGATCAAAAATACAGTAAAAACTATCAAATAAATAAACAATAATAAACTGTTTATTTTAATATCTTTAAAAATTTATTTTGTTCAGCAGACATTACTCAAGTCTTCAGAAGTCTTCAGAAATCATTCTAATTTTAATATTACAAATCATTCTAGAGGCTGATTTGGTGCTCAAGAAACATTTCTTAAGATTATCAATGTAGAAAACAGTTGAGCTGCTTAATGTTTTTGTGGAAACCATGATAAATTTTTTTCATTTGATTACTAGAAAATAACATAAACATAATTTATTTGAAACATATATAGAAAGATTATGTCTTTACTGTCACTTTTGATTAATTGAATGCATTCTTGCTGAATAAAAGTATGACATACTTTATAAAAAATCTTATTGACCCCAAACTTTTGAACAAAAGTGTATTTATACATACACTTGTATATCATTTATATTAATTTTATAACACATATAATTCCCAATTGCATGTCAAATTCTTATTCTAATGCATACATAATTGTCTATGCCACTCATATACTACTATAACATGCACAACTCATTACAGGCATTTTGTGACATAAATTCAATGTAGTACATGCACATTTTTTTTAAAGAAAGCACTGTCTATGCAGCTCAGATCATGTGACATTTACCCAAGGACAAATGCAAAAGTTGTATGGCGTAACATTTAATGTAACTCTACGTCAGATTATGGCTCACAATATATAGAGGCAGCTGTAAACTGCCTGGTGGAATTTTAAATTGTATTAAAAAGTTAAAAAAGAAAGAATATACGCCCCCTGGATCTTGTGTTCTGCAGTGAGGGGCTACTGCCCAATGTACCCATACAACTGCACAACATGGGAGTGTTTACATTTGCCAGACTGGTCTAACAATAATATTAATTATATGTACCCTAAGTTTTATTTACACAAATACAGATAAAGATCCTCCGAGTTTTGTGGCATTTTAAAATGATTCGAATTTTATTTCAATACTTAAAGCAGCTGAATCTTTTGTTTAAGTTTAGTTTAATTTGTTACAATTTGCGTCTATTTATTTATTTTCTCTTTCAGTGTATGTTGCTTCAATTCATTGTGTTCGTGTTTAACAGTTGTATACGTATATAAAATGTCTGTTTTTAAACTATGGCTTATGCATTTGTTCTGTATTTAATTTCCACTTCACTTGACGTTTAAATAAAATAATAATAATAATAATAATAATTTGCATTAAAATGAAGGTGAGGGTGGTGATGAGAGCTGGCATAGTAATTATATATTTTAAAAAAAGTAAATTTGAAATTCACTAACGATAAGCATCAGTGGTCAGGCGCAAGTGTGGCTGCCAGTATAATAACGCCTGCTGGAAGTGTTGAATGAGAGAGCAGAGATTTGCGACACCGCCAGCTGTGCGTCGCTCTATCAGTTATTACGGTAATGGTACTGATGAGTCAGGCTATATGATGCTGATGATACTGCTGCCATTTCACAAACATCTCTTTATCCCTAATCATGAGACTGACAATATGAATTTACAAAGAATTTATGGGCATTCCGAAAGTAACAGGCCTTAATGCAAACGCACCAGTCGATTATGTTCATTCGTTTGGTCATTTGGTGCATATTCAAAGCGGGACTGGTTGCACATTTATCCTCAAAAACATTCGGATGTGCTTGGATGCCTTGCCTGGGAACGTCACGGTATTATACGCTTTCTGACTGAAAGACAGCGAAGAATATGGGGCTTGCCATCCTCAGACACTGAGAAGCATAACCAAGGTAATAATTACACGAAAGATACAACAATATGTGTTCAGAGAGCGATTTCTCTAAACAAGTGCGATGCTCGACTCATAGGCCTGCAAGCATCTACTATGCTTTAGCTAGCTTTAGAAACTCGTATATAGAGAGATGCTAAGTTGTTATAAATGTATTATCGTTGGAGATCGTGTTAAGCAGTTTATTATTAATTATGAAACTATATAAATTATATTACATTTTAACATAAAAATTCGGGTCTGATACTTTTAAACGCACTGAGATTCACATAGGCGTACTCAAAAAAGATTTTATTGACACATTTTTGGTCAATTTGACCACAGTTATAACAATTTTTCAACATCATTCCAATGTATAAATGTTTAATAGTTTGGACTGTTATAGTAAATGTTTAATAGTCTCGCATCATATATAGAATAAGGTAATTATACATAACATCTATTTGAAGGATAATCGTCCATTTAAAGAGCAAGGCTCAGCTGATAGTCTCTTCTAAGCATCTACATCTGATCCTTAAAAATACTTTCATAATAATAATGATGACTTTGAGCTAAATAAAACACAAAAATGAAAATTCAAGGATAAGTAAGTGTTGAGAAAATTTCATTTTTAGGTGAACTATTCCTCTAACAAAGTACATTTTTAGGTTTGCTCAGAAAATATTACTGTGAAAAATGAATTTTGACACTGTTATTCATTGACAGATCAAATAAGATATGGAAGCTATATGGCTGTACCAGTTCCGGCTGATTGTCATTGGCGACTCGACGGTGGGGAAGTCTTGTTTGATCAGACGCTTCACAGAAGGACGTTTTGCACTGGTGTCTGATCCTACTGTTGGCGTAGACTTCTTCTCCCGTCTGGTAGAGATTGAACCAGGCAAACGCATCAAGCTTCAGATCTGGGACACGGCAGGCCAAGAGAGATTCAGGTACATCTGGTGGTATTTGATGACATTTACATGTAGCTATCACAGCTACCCTACATGCATTCTCTAATTGTTTAAACAATTCAAAATAGGAGATTTGTGGCTTTTAGTCTATGTTTGTTAGCTTTTAGGCTATCTAAATGCTAATGTACACCTAAACATTGGCAAAATTCATTTTTAGTCTTTCTCTTTCAGGAAAAATAGCCAAAACTTTTTATTCCTCATCCTGCACTAGATTTTTTGACCAATCAAATGCTTTCTGTAACACTCCAAAGAGAAAGGAAAAATTGAAATCGCATCATATGACCCCTTTAATGACTTCATTGTGCTTAAGGAGGAAGTTCATTTTGTGATTTTATTTTATTTTTTATTTTTTTTTATTTAAAATAAAAAATGTTGGATTGGCCTTACATGCTAGTTTTTTAATATGTAGGTTTCATTGATTTGATTTCAACATTTCCTTATAAGAGGACAGTACATGCAATCTCAGACATTAAACACAAATAAAACATTTTAATACACTGACAGAAGAAATATTATTGTGCACTTATTACACTGGTGTAGAAACAGTTTCCACTCAGAAATTGCAAATACATTTCACAAATAATTGCAAAGAAATGGTAAGTCAACCATTGAATTAATGGTAACGCTTTACAATAAGGTTCCATTAGTTAATGTTAGTTAATGTATTAACTAACATGAACAAACAATGAAAAATACATTTATTACAGTATTTATTAATCTTTGTTAATGTTAGTTAATGAAAATACAGTTGTTCATAGTTAGTTCATGTTAATTCACAGCGCATTAACTAATGTTAACAAGCACAACCTTTGATTTTAATAATGCAGAAGTAACTGTTGAAATTAACATGAACTAAGATTAATAAATGCTGTAGAAGTATTGTTCATGCTTAGTTCATGTTAACTAAAGTAGTTAACTAATGTTAACTAATGAACCTTATTGTAAAGTGTTACCGAATTAATCATATATAATCATGAAATTTGGAAGTAGAATAACTTAAATAGTAGCATCTTGTAAAATGTACTCCAATAATCTTTGTTTTTCTTCAAAAATTTCCTCACAAAGTAATATTGTTCCCAATCTGGATATTGTTATGCTTCAAACTTTTATGTCTTTCCTTATCTCATATTCAAGTGTTCCATTTGTATATATACAGATTCAGTAGTTTTTGTCTTCATTATGATATCAGGACAGATATTTTTGACTTTTAGATATAT